TCAGTCCTCTTGGTCCGGTGGGTGGGGTAGAAGAGTTTTGTTATGCAACACAATGCAGGAGTTGGTACTTGGAAAGCCTCGACATGGCATTACTGTAGCAATTCAGATGGAAATGGTCACTTGGGTATTTCCGTCACTTGAGAGTCCTGTTTCTCCGTCTTCGGTCTCGTCTTTTCCTTAAGCTCTTGGGTTGGAATCTCAATGCTCTTCTGCTGCTGCTGCTGGATTCGGAATGTGTATCCTTGAATGTGTATCTGCTGCTACGAGACAAATTCTCATTCTTTCTGTACATGCGGAAATGTCACCTCCGGCGATGGGAAACTGGGAATTCGTTAGGAAATGAAAGGACGACACAAATTGGAAGCAGGGCAGGGATAGAATTGTTGAGTTCACTCGTCATCATTCCTGATTGCTTAACACACGTCCACCTGCTTTGCAAATGGAGGGACGAGGGAAACAAAATAAATTTTTCAAAGTGCTTTCCTTCGTAGCAATTTCCGACTCTGAGATAAGATATGACCAGGAAAGAGCATTAAAAGTTTTTGGTTGGAGATCGAAATACATCTCAACTCGTGTAAGTAATCGAGGACTCGGGGAAGACGGGGATCGATCATGTTATTCGCTCCGTGGGATTAAATATCCACTGCCGGCCCTTCCTCCGTTGTTGATCAAAGCCCGATTACCAGCCACAGATCAGAGATTCTACTCGAATTTAAACCAACCCTGGGATTACTCCATTCTTACCCACGCAATGTAACTCTCGACTTGAGCATTTGTAGCAATTGTTAGACGCATATCTTTTATGATACTGCATTTTGAACGGCATAACGGGTTATTTCGGTGGAATAAATCATTGTGCTCTGGATTACCACGGGCAGAAAAGTGCAAATTGGACGCCCATTCAATATCGCTTTTTTCCTCATAGATTACTTTTTATTGCACAGCAGGTGCTGTAGTGTGAAAATTTGAATTTGTAACAAATGTCTGGGCATCAGATATTTATTCTTTTCATCGCACATACAGTACATGCTGCTTCCTCAAACTAACATTACCCAACTAAATGGGATGGGATAGATTCGAGACCCTGGAAGATAGCCATTTAAGGAGCTGGAAGCACCTAAAACGCACATTTCGTCCCTGAGAAACCCCACCTAATGTCTTTTCCGACCTATATTTAAGCTCGTTCAGAAGGATTCCAAAAATTTGCTCCAAATCAAAATGTTCTATTTTCCGTATGTATTTTCCGTATGTATTTTCCGTATGTAAAATCACAGATGTAAAATCTCCTCCACTAACGACTGAATTAAGAATCTATGATATAAGCCATCTTCTCAACGGCCCACGGCATTATGGCCTTTGAAACAAATTTTGGCGTCCTCCTGCCCTGCTGCCAACTGAACTGTGTGCATATCCAACCCCACATGTTTTTCCTTTCATAAATGAAAAAGCACTTTCGCATTGATCAACTGTGTTGAATTCCCTCCTGGTCGTATGCTGTTCTTCCTCGTTGTTTCGGATTTTCAGTGCTGAATCGATCACGTAGAACATATTGCACACGTATTAAAGGATTGGATTCCATTCCATTCAGCAGCGTAAATGCCATTTCCTTGTATGCCCGATTTTAACCAAAGGTGTGGTTGATTTTCCATTACTCCTCCATTTCTGGTCAAGGTGGGCTACTTGATCACGAACGAAACAAGCAATAAGCGTTCCATTACGATTGACCTGAGCATCAAAGTGTGCTGAGCACAGTGAGCCCAGCGATTTTGTGTCCGTTTTGTGGGCAGAATGAAGGCAGGAGTAGTCATTTTGGTCTGATGCAATATATCCTTCAGTCCATCGAGGATTCGTTCTCCTCAACATTGGAGTTGACCCAATACTTTCCTCAAGTTATTTCCTCTGGCCCCAATTGCAACTTCCCGTGGTTCTCTCTCCAGTAGACCAGCACTCCCCTGGACCACGTTGCATGAGACGAAGGTTGGTCAAATTCTATAACCTCGCGTATATACGTGCGATGGGGATGTACAAGAGAAAAGGCGAGGGAAAAGAGAAAGTTCAATCAATGAAAACAAGTGGAGGGTGAGGAAGCATAATCTATATTTTTATGCCCTTTCATCTTCCTTTATTTTCCCTCAGAAGCTAACGAGTTTCTTTCCACTTGGCCAACAGCCACTCGACGCGTGCATTTATATGTGCCCACATGTACAACGTGTATGTATGTATGTGCTTGGCGTATGTGGTGGGGTGGGTTTCGCTTCACGGTTTGATAGCTTTGGAACTCTTGCAGCTCTTATTTCTTTGGATGAAACATAACGCAGATCGAGGAGCTAATGAACCTGTCAAAATTGAATAGATACGGGTATATATCCAGCATTATTACTGCCTGACAGCAGCAGCACATATATTGTGCCTCCAGGACTTGCATCGTTTGTAACTTTCCTCCTCCTCCGACCTGAATCGTGTATATAAATAGATCCAACTTGCGGGTAATAATGGAGAAAGTGAAGAAAGCTAACAACATAGCTGCGTTCTTTCTTTCGAGAGTATACGATGTTGGCCAGGAGGCGTGAATGAAAACGAAGGCAACGAATTCAGCAATTTTAGAAGAATCGATATTGGGATGTAATTAATATATAATTGAATTATTAGCTGAGCTCACATTCGCATTTTGTCTCATTGACAAAACAGGCTGGGAGCAATTTGTCATTTTGCCATCCAAACACTGAGAACTGCAATTTTTATTTATGGGCACTTTCTACATTTCGTTTAATTTCCCGAAATCCTTTGTTTTCGTTCACTTGAGGTTCAGCCTGGTGTTTTGATAGCTCCAAATCAACAAAAATCAGCCCTAGCTTTCCTTCCATTTGTGTGTTAGGACGACTCGGATTGTGTGGAGGAGCAGTGATGAGGTGGTCTCATGGTCTGGTCTGATAACGTGTGAGAGCTTAGTATGGTCCGTGCCTTCGCCCTTCGATAAAGTTCTTGATCATCATTTGAGATTTCTCTCTCATCACGTCTTGAAATGGTGAAAGGTGCAATTTCATTTCCTAACACTGCAATTTCGAAGATAGCGAAAACTCAAACTGCTCAAGCGTCAAAATCTCCTGAATTACAATTTCTTGGAAAACACGAGTTCTACGAGTAATCTGTTCACATAATCTTACACTAGTTTTCTCTTCGCAATGACAATCTAGATAAGCCAGGAGAACGGAATATCTGCTTTTTCCATGCTCATTTATGGGAGTGAGATTTGCCCAATATATTTCACGACGTCCCACAAACGGAGAAATGACACATGGATCTGTTCCTGTTAAATTGTGATTTACAAATATGACGGGCTAAACCCACCACTAATTCAACTCGGTCCATCCCAACCCATGTATCTCGCTGCCACAGCTGCGGTTACAAAGTTCAGCGAGCTAAAACAGTTTCGGGAGATAATATCAAGTAATATTAAGGCACAGTCTCGTTCACTCGAGGGAGCAGAGGAGCAGAGGGGCTCGTTTCCAATATAATAATGGCAACTAAGAGTTAATTAACTAGAATCCAGCTGTAGTAAGTAGTCCAGCTTTCCCAAGCTGATACTAAAAACCTGATAGATCTGTAAGAGGATGTTTGGTCCAGATATCCATCCTGCGAGGAGCCAGCAGGTTTCGCCTCCTATTAATTCTGCTTCATAATTTAACAACTAAAACCTCTCTCTCTTTCTCTTTCTCTTTCCTTGTTTCACTTAAATTTTCTCTCTCACTTTCTCCGAAATTGTATGTTAGGCCTCCTCCTCGATGGTACAGCTCTCCTTTTCCTGTTATGCATCCCTTGCTTTGTCCCTAGTCGTCCAGATGGGTAGGCAATCTTGAAAGTACGCTCGAACCTTTTGTTCTCCATTTATACCTCGCCTTGTCTGGTGCTCCTTGTATCTGTGTGCTCGCAAAGTGAAAGCCTTTGAAGGGGAGAGAATGAGGGAAACTGCTCAAACATTAATATTAAAATGCATTAATATTATGTTGTTCAGAGATATTTTTGAGCTTTATTAAAAATTCATCCCCAGCTTTTGAGCTTTATGTTGCCAGTGTTTTGCCACATAAATGATGGCATCCTTCACTGGTGGACTAACTGGTTCAGCGAGCGGTTGAATGGTTGGTGGAAGGTGCAGGTTGGGATTTATTTCGGCTTTCATCTCCAAACAACGTTTAGAAGAGAAAACGCTTTCCCCATAATGATCATGAAAACAACTTATGGAACCAACAAAAGCAAACACGAGCCTTGATTTAGCTTTTCGCATCAAACTAAGAGCCCTTTTCTCTCTTCCTCCTCTTCGGATGGGCGGTGCATGGTGGTTGGTGTGGCCATGTTTCAAAACTTGGCGTTATTCTCTCGCCGTGTGTACAACCACAATGACGACGACGACGACGACGACGAAAATGAAAGATTGCACAAATTCCTCTTTCACTCATTCTCCAGAGTGCTCGCCTGGCCAATTGGTCGTGATGCGAAATTAGTTTTAAGCGTGTGGCATGCATACATACGAAGGTGTGGCAGCTGCCTGAGTTTGGGCTTTTAGTCTTGAATTCTCACCCACAACAATTTATTACTTTCTCTTCCTGACATGTACATGTAGAGGTATATAACGCATGCAAATTAACTCCAGCTTGGCCAAAGTTAGTTGAATGCATGTGAATGTCATCAGAACAGAATCCAACAGAAGCATAATAGATGGATCTCGACACAAGTACATACAATTCAACTTTGAGATGTTGTTGATGGTGAACAAAGTTAATGTTTTCACACATTACACAAAGCCCACGCGAATAATTGGAAACAACACGTCACTTTTCTGCCGGAAAGGGAAAGAGAAATTTTACTTTTTTTACCTCAATTAATTTTGTTATCGTTCCCCAAACATGATTTGCCTTGACTGTGCAAATTGTCGTGTGGAGAGTGATTTCCTGCGGATTTAAAGTATTTATGGAAATTACAACTCTTTTTATCTTTTTTGGCAGGCGGAGTGAACGGGATCGACCTACAGGATCCAGAGCTTGAAGAAGCAGCTACACGAATCCAGGCGACGTATCGAGGGTACACTACACGAAAGACGATAAAAATGTCGAACCAAGAGGAAGAAGGTAAGCGCAGAATAACTCGTTTTTCTTCCATTTTTACATATATTTATCGAGTGTAACTGCAATTTATGTTCATTACGATACTTGAATAATTGTGCAGAACCGAGTTCTAAATCAACTCATTCAATAAATTTATAAATAAAAAAATTTCGCAAGGAATTTCCATTATCGTCATAAAGGAATTTTACTTAGGATTCCTTGGTACTCTTCGCTTTCCAATATTAACATGATTCGATTTTTTCTGGTGAATGGGGGTTGTTTAAAAGTCAAGTGTTCACCTCCTCATTGCTCTCCTGATAAGCCTGATTACCACATTTAACTTCTTTCAGGCCTGCCAGATCTCAACGATCCAGGTAAATTTGAAAAATCTAAAATGCATGGCAAACCTTTAATTACAGGGCTAAGCAACCGGCGAAGGTGAATTCATGCATGCAGATTCTTTTACGTACATTTGCTCTGTAGTCGTGTATTTAAATATATATTGAACAACGTGTACATTTTCAGCTTCAACAGCACGTAACTGCAGCTGAGTTTTTGTTACGCGAAATTCATGACTGTTACATACAATCGATCCAACTTTGCTTTGATTGTGGACAGTACATACATATTTTCGTAATATTATTGCATGTAGTTTGAAATTTGCATGCCATAATATTCGCAGAAAGTGTTACTCATTTACGTAATGTAATTACCACGACATGTGTTCATGTAATTTTGCATCATACAAATTTGATTTCTCTCAGCACGAAACACGACCAGGAAATGTTTTGCCATAAACCAGACCAGTAAAACTTTCTCTCTTTTCATAATAAGATTGACTCTCGAAATCCTCCAAGGACATTGATTTCTTTAACCATTTTTGCAAAACTCGGGTTGGCGTTGGCGCATTCATATGTTAAAATTGAGCACATGGCAAAGAAAACTTACGTTACTACAATTGCTTGGCTGACCTAATTTATTAAATAAAGTTCACCTGAAGGCCTAACTTCCGAGGTTGGCAGTCAATCACGACTCATCTATTCTCGCACACAAAATAAACTGTTCTTTTTCGACAACCCATACATACAAAATTATACACATGTGTAGTAACTTTTCCTACAAATAAATGCTCACAGCCTGTCGATATACATATGTACAGACTCGTATACATGAGAAACACAACACATTTCGTTGAAATGCCATTCATGATTCACAATCACTCACTCAACCCCACTCAGAAGGCAATTTGACGGGAAAAAAGAAGAAAAACTTGCCAACCAGCGGACGATTTTTATTCCATTTGCATTGCATCAACTATCAACCTGATTCAACATGATGGATGATGGTTGTGTGTGTGGGTTTGTTGGAGAAAGTGGGAGAAAGCGGAGGCAGGACCTCAGGCAGGCAGACCAGCACTTTTCTCCCTGAAAGAAGTAGAACACAATATTTGTGTGCACATGGAAGGGAGTCAGGGCGTGTTTGTGGAGAGGCTGGATAAGTCGTGGTTGGATAAAGTCAAGTCAAAAGTAAGAAGAGATTAAAGCGAGAGAAAGAATTACAGAGGAAGTTGTTTGACTTTGTTACCCTGCTGCTCCATTGCTTCTAAATACGTTACACATCGTTATGCATTCCTGTTACAGCCTGACGAGTTCCACACATCACGTACCTGTTCCCTTCTTGGTACATCCGTGTACAAAGCGCTAAATCATGCAGGAGTAAATGCCCATTATATTTTTTCGCAGTGAAATTGATTAATGTTGTTGAATTTTTAGCCTAGCTTCACGCTGGGTAACTCTATTAGTCCAAGAAATCATTAATTTTCAAACCATCAAGTGTTTGCATGTTTCGTGGCCAAAAATATGCAAACATAACACGACTGCTAACAATAGTTAGGTTTTGGGTAACTTGTTGTTTATGACTGAGCCAGATTAAAGTGATTAATAGGAAATTGCGAAAGTGTTGGTTCAAATGGTTCCTCATGGCTTTCAAATAGTTGGTTTAAACATGAAGGTGTTTGGATTACAACAGGAACATCATTAATCAAGACACATTTTGGTTGAGGTGAAAGTGAGCCCACATTCTTTGGTGCAGACTAGACCTGTCTTAGCTCCAACAATAACTTATCTCCGTCATGCTTCAAAGGCTGAGAAATGCTGTCCAACTTCTCTATTCACTCAAATACTTTTCTAATAATAGGAATGCATCCCTTCCTTCGCTTTATGCATGGATGAAAGGCTACTACAACACACATAAGTTCGAGCAGCAAGGGTTTCCTTAGCTCGTGTTAACAAGTGGCGATGTTTCATCAGCATGGTTATTGATTGCATGGGGGAATGTCACTACTTGGCGTAGATGACATTGGCGTAGATGTAATTAGTACATCACACTTCTAAGTGTCGAACTTATATCGACTGATCAAACTAATTACTAATCAGCCATTGGATTATTTTTTGTACAGAGGTCGGAAATGCTGCTGCATTGATTCAAGCATCATTTAGAGGCCACCAAAACCGTAGGCAGCAAGAAAAGGCGGACAAGGCTAAGGCTAAAGCAGACGCGGAGCTTACGCAACAAATGGAGAAACTAAAAACGAAGGTAAACAAATACATATTTCTTACTAAATATTTCGTTATCGCATTCAAATGAAATTGGAGGGATATACAAACGTCGTGGTTGGGCAACAATATGCCATTTTTCTAAAAACCAGAAAAATATACACGCATATACAATCTTATAGTTGGATACACACAGTTTGTGTCTACTTTGGTCCCAGAACATATTTTATCCTTAGAAGTTTATAGAATTAAGCTGGACGGATGTGTTGGTTTTCCTTGGTCTTCTTTTCCCCTTTACTGTCTACCTCAGTTTGCTGGGCGGAGGTAATCTGTCAAGCGCTGTATTTCTCCAAGAAAATCCTCCTCACAAAGCTCACGAGCAACATACACGAAAGGCAAAGAAGCCGACAACCAATGAAGCAAAAAAAGTTGTTGCCACTTAAACTTTCATTTCATTCGGACCCAGATTTTATTCCTGCCCATCTAACCACCCGTCATCAGAAAAAAACTTACCCAGCGTCACCCACTTTCTCCCCTTCGTCTGCATTGGATAGATACACAACAACCCTCGACCATCCTTCCTTTATGACCTAGTCTTCCAGTTGTACATGGAAAACACGCCTTAAACAAGAGTCGCGGCATGGTTGGGAAAAACCCTAAACTTTTACTCTCAGAAAGAACTCCGAATGAGTTGGTTTTTATGCGGCAGAAAATTAGGGCACGAAAATGTAGTGCGTACCTGGTAATCCGAACTTTATAAAAATGACTCGAGAGATTTCTCGTGACATTTCCAACCAAGATGGAACTTTTCGAGTCTGCAGCATCTCGTCCCTGCGTGAATAGTATAAATTCCGGATGATGACGCAGTTTTGCTGCGAGATCATCTATGAAAAGTGGGGTATCGCATCGCAAGAGCAGAAATAATCGGAGGCACTCAGGCAGACGTCCCATTTCATTTCCGAGATTGTTTCAGACCAGCAGGAGCATTAGAGAAAGCTCAGTTTAACTAGCAAGAGACAATATTCGCTACGCCGTCGTGTTGTTGGCGGACGGAGAGGAACTGAGGAGGATGTGAACAAAGTGGGTGTGTCAAGTTGGCCAGGCTCATTGTTGGCATTATCATCATTATTGCCCAGCATTACATCTCACTTAGTCTTATTACATGGACTGTCTTATGGTCACCTGGGGAGAAGGGCTCCGCAGCGTTTCTTCAGCTCAGGTTGAGCACTGAACAACTTTTTGCACAAGAAATCGAGATACATGCAACTCTCCACCACTTGTGAGCCATATTTCCTCTTGTTCTTCGCATGACACGACGGAAAAAAGTCGAGGACGATGCAGAACGCAGGCGAGACTATTCCCCGATGCCCTTTCGGATGAGGTTGGTCAAACAAAACAAAGAAAAAAACAATGTAATTCTCTCCATAATACTTGCTCGCGGATGCTCTTTTGTGGTATTGAGAATGGTTCTACTGGTGGCCCACATTCGGAGAATAATACGCTTTTCTCCATTAAATTGTCTTCTTATTATTGTCTTTTCCATATAAATTTAATATCGCGAATTGGATCAACATGTCACGGCTATGGACTCGTTCAAATAATTTCGTTGAGCCTCTGCCAAGAATGCTAACCAGCAGAGTTGGGGATGATCGAGCTTGAACGGTCAAATCTACTTAGATTTAAGGAGCCGTCACACAAAGTCCAGTCTACTTTCGTTTGAATGCAGTTGTTTTATACTCGTAATACTAATAACAATAAACGATCTTTGTGAGAAACAAGATTTTCTAAGGAGCATAAATTAATCAACTTTTTGAATGCCAACAGGCAGCCGAGGAGGAGGAAGAACTGCCGGACCTGTCGGATCCAGAATTGAACAAGGCTGCCACAAAAATCCAAGGTACACATACATAGACTTACAGTTCGTTATAAAAATAGTGCACAAACGAATAACAGTAAATGCTAATCTCTTGCATTAATAAATTGTCTTTCAGCTCAGTTTAAGGGGCACATGGTTAGAAAGACATTGACAACCAAGGACGAGCCCTCTTCCAATTGATCCAATACTCCGTAATGTAAACCATGCTCCGAAGCAATTTCCGCAGTTCCACCCAGTCCCACTTCTTAGCCCCCATAATATTACCACCACTCAATTCTGCAATATCCTTCCCGATCTCTCTCTTTCTCTCTATCCATAAGATAAGCACCTTCTTCTAGCACGGATATACTTAGCTGCAATAAATCGTAGGATTATTATAGAAGGAAACAAGATTGACATTACATGATGGGTGACCTTAAGATTGGAGTCCTCGCCATCATTTCGGTAAGCAATTTCACATTTCTTTTATTTATTGTCTCATCATTTATTTTGCCCCTTTTGTAAATGCCTTCTTAGCGCAAAAATATATACTTTTATATATCAAGTAATCTTCATTGTATCATCAAGGAACAGAATAGAACAAGAGCGGAGCCAGATAATAACTCCAATTAATTTTTCACAATAACCTCTTTGATAAAGCATCATTGTTCACATACATATTTATCTCGGATCTACTGCTCCTGACATTTCCTGTCCTTAATGTCACCAACAGACTCAGTGCCGGCCATTTTCAGTGAATTTGTTCAACAGCACCAGAACTTGCTCCTCTTATCATCGAGTCAATATTTATTTGTCTTCTTATTCTGTCCGTGCACAGTTCTAGCCACTTGTCCATTTGGTTAAAACAAGTATTTCCATCTAATTTTCTGCAACATTAAATTCATTCAATGAATCTTGATACAAGTTGTTTATTTAGTTCATTTACGAGAGATACATAAGTACTTACAACTATTACATCTTATAATGCATACGTTCATTTTCTACGGAGGGAATCAAGTCGATACTTATCCAGAGTCCTATCACGAGCCCGAAATGAAATTTAATTATCAGATTTTTTATTTGGTCACGTACCCCATCGTGTAGTAGCAAATAAATGATACACAAAGGTACATGTGTCGCGCTATGTACATTGCTAACTACAATTTTCCCTAACTATTTCACGTATTTGTACTTGAGTAGGAATGAAAAAGTATCGATTAATAAATATGTACCTATGCAAAACAATAACGTCTCAACAAAAAATGGGCAACGACAAAAATATTGCTACTAAAACATTCATAATCATTGCAAATCATTAAAATCATCAATAATCATTAAATCATTGCAACTATATTAAAGCAATCACTTGATCCAACAATTTATTGATGCAGTGCAATTTGTAACTGACTCTGAGTTCCGCATTATTAACGAATCGACACTCATTTCCCCATCCGTCCTGCAAATGGGTACCAATAACGCCAATGAACAGTCCATAAATCGACGGAGTTACAAACAGCGCAATTTTGCGAACGGAGAAAGTTGCGAAAGCCAAATGGTTTTAATTAACGTCCATTCGCATTCCCCACACAATGAACTCAACGTTGGAGAATAAAACAGACGATTTGCGGGTTTCAGTTTATTGACAAATTTCGAGAGAAAACAACTTCCGCAATCTAATTTCTTCCAAAGCAAATCCCATTTTGTGGTTGTAAGTCCTCGTGACTAAAAGTTGTCACATTTACTCGTTCCTTGTATATAAAGTTCAACTGCTGGCTTTTAGCCTTCAAATTTTATCTGTGCAATAAATATTATACGATCAGTAAGAGATGCCCATAAATATGCGTAATGACACCAGCGCTACTAGTCAAATTGTATTTCGATATAAACATGCGCCTATTTAAACGGAACTGGAGAAAGTTCAACCTGATTACGGTACTACTTAGCTATTTACTTATCTACTTCCTATAAAGTCACTGTATGTACACGTGAAATAAGAAGGGAGCATTTCACGAGGGAATTTCCTGGCTTCACTCTCGCTTTCTCCCTGCTTTTGCCCGTCCCACGTAATCTCATTCTCAATTCTAATCCCAATCCAGTTCCAATTCTCATTCATGAGGTGGAATTGAAAAGTGTGCGTATTGGTCCAACTCAGGAATAATTTAGGTTGGATTTTTCCTAGTGCCTGTTTTTCCTAAGCTTTGTTTGGCTGACATCAGCTTCGACATACATACACCAGAACAAATCAAAATCAGAACGAGACGTGAAGGCGAGCACGATAGATTATGTGGCACAAATAATTCAATAACCTTCCACACAGAATTTGACTCACGGAATAAACATCGGAATCGAACTATCATGGGATTCCAAAATGTGTACCTGATGGAAATACAAATTTCCGTCTTTTGCAAAACCACTTTGTCCAGTGTACTTGCATGCATACTTGACTTGTGAGCTGGGTTTCTAGCTTGAATAAGCGTAATATTGAACACCACAGGGAAATGCCAGTTCTGTTTTTAGTAAGATAACCAAAAACTACAATGATCACAAAGTTTAGCATTTTTTCTTTTCTTTATATAGAAAACAATGTAGTTTTGCGCTGCTAAATAATACATAATTGAGCTAATGTTAGAAATTATCTGCTTTAATGTTGGGTTCGTGTTCCTTTGTAGTTTTTGCACCAATCACAATTAACCATCGGACTTGGTCATCGTCACGCAACCGTTATTATACTTGGACTGTCTTTCACCAGACCAGAATTAACTGTAGAAAAGTATCGCCCACGCTCCTCGCTACTGTTGTAAGGCCTTTGTGGTGCTAAAAATACATTATGAAGCTCACGGTGCATACATATTCGTATTTATTACGTAATACTGAAATCAGGGAAGTCCTAATTTCGTGACATTTTGAACAGATGCTACAAAGACGAAGGATTTATCCAATTTACTGAGAAAGAAAGCATGATTTATTGAATTCCTTTTGTGTGGGACGAACGGAAGTTGCTAGATAAGCAAGTTTGCTATTAGAGAGTTGAGGGACACTGAACTAAAAGTTTGTAATCTCATTCGTTATTACTGCGACACGAAGCAATATTATTGATTTTTTTTAATTGGATAAGCATCACACTGCTATTGTTAATTTTTATAGAATGGTCGTACTTATTATTAGTCCCGGCTTTTAGACATGCAGCATTTAGCTCTCTATACGACTCTTCCTGCCAGTTCTTGTGCATATTAATTAATTGCCCAATTTGTTGGATAAATCTCATTTGGAAAATTGAATAAAATGAAACCAGGTTTTTTCAACGCAAATTGGGAAACTCGAGAACCGCAGGCATGAAATTCTATTAAAAAACTTTTACAGTTTACGTACTTAAATTTCGAAGGAAAATTAACCTTGTAGTTTCCAGGAATCTAGGAACTTTCCTAACCAAAGGACAAACTAAGTGGGAGAGGAGAAAGCTTATTTTTGAAGTTCTTTTATGGAAATCTCTTTGCCCACGTACATAATTACGTCAGCTTTCCCTCTGGCTCATTTTTTCACAAATAATAAGCGTATGAAAGTGTTGTGCAGAATATGCTAAACAAGATACCATTCAGAGGAAGGGTTTATTTCTAACAAAATGTAATTTTTGTAAGAAAAGAACTTGCAATACTTCAGATAAATATTTCATGCACATCGTGCTTGTCGTACTTATGTTGTTTTCTTAAGCACAAACTACACAGTCTCACAACAAAGGTTGTGGTGGTTCCAACGAGGACTGTTATTAGCTCGTGCTCGCATTGTATGAGCGAAATTATACATAATTATGTCCTTCCCAAATGTGACCTGCTATGTAATTAATACTACAAGCACACTAAAATAGCTGAGCATATATTGTGGGTGAAAGTACATTGTTTTCCATTCCCCTTGATCCCTCGATTAAAATCCCACAAGTCACGTAGCAGCTGGTTGTTTGCTTACATGCAAATTACGGGTATCCAATCCAATTCAGATACGCAATCGGAGTATGTTCCTTCTCGGAGGCTTCAGTGATTGTTAGTTGAGCTCCGTCTTTATCTCATCTGTCCCCAGTCTTGTTGTGCCATCCATCTCGTTAGAACGGTCGTAGTTAACCTATGGAATAGGCAGAGAGAAAGGGAGAGACGTCTTGTCAGTCGAGGAGGATTGTGCAATGGGACACTGCTCCTTCGTGAAGTTGACTTAGGACTGCAGAGGAATAATTAAGTAAAAGTGGAAGGAATACAGAAGCGTTGGAGTGGTTCCAAGATTTTCGTTGGAGGGACATATCACTCCACACACAGGGAAGCTCAACATGCTCCCATTATCATTCCATAGGCAGATTAGGTTAGTTAGCTCGTGTCGAGTTCCTTGTGGAGAAAGTAAGACATGCAGGAATCAGGTCACAGCCTCAATTCCAACTTGGTGGTGACGTCAGATGAATTCTTTTTCACCAAGGAGCTACACATATCCTGATCCCCTTGGTGCAAAAACCCGACCAGCCAAGAAATGTATTTCCAGGTGAAGCACATTTCAAAATTCTTTAATTATAGCAAAATTTATAAGACTACGAGTTTTAAAAGGGTAATACAGTTTCAGCCAGTCTCTTATGCTCAAACATATTTCTATGAAGTCATAAAATGGTGCAAATCTAGGCCAGTTACATATATACGTACTCTATAAATTAATAAATCTTTCACCCAGCTAGACTGTCAAGACAAAGAACCAAGTTATTCTTGCTTACGAACAAAATCTCTCCCTCCGTCCAACTCATTACAGTTTAATTAAAATTTAAGCATGGCATATGAATGTCAAACGAAAGGTTCTTTACAATAATAATACGATCTTTCTCCAAACCACACATAGATAAATACAGCGTAATAATTATCCCCTTGCCACTGATGGAGGTGCATTGTCTCAAATTATCCCGACTCATGCTGGTGGATTTTAATGAGGACGGATATATTTATCTCAGACGACGTCCGTTCGTTCGTTTAAACTACCAGCAGAGTTTGTCAGGCAGTCTGACGAGCGAATTTCCCAGCTAAGGAAATATGCAGGGAAAATCGTTACAAAACCTCGTTCTGCAGTTGTGCGTCAGCTTTCTCTTCTAGTGACAACATTTTGAGTTCATCTCATCCCGATTCTTCCCACCACCACCACCACCAATTTCCCGTATACTACATTATATGCATTACAGTGTAGTCGGCATAAATTGTGAAATGAAACTCCTCACTGCTGTTTGTTCTGCTCGTTCCTGTGAAAGCACCCGTTTTATTAGCAATTCAATATACGACAGACATAAGCATAAATATCGTACGTATGCGTGGCACAAGTCAGAAAGGGCTGCATTTATTCGAACCGTTTGCTGAGGGTATGAAGCCACGGCCGTAAGAAGGACTTTTCACCACCAGTGAAATGAGGAGCTGTGCTGTGAACCACGTACTTGGCTTCGTATGCAAAAATGATGCAGTTACTAAATCATGCTGAAATTGCTTTGGCACTGAATGTTAACGCTCTTTGTATGCTCAGCAAGATCCCTTCCCTGCTGATTTCAAATAAAATTATGGCAAATGTTGGAAAGGAAGTATTTATGTTAATGCTTTTTTACCATCAAGATTCAAGTTATCCACAGGAGATAAGCTCTTACACGTCTATACTGAGGATATGTAATGGGTGCTTATGTAAATGTTGTACAGCTGCTGGTAATGCAATAGCATTTTTGGAATATTTGTATGATAACGAAACATAAAAGAGAAAGCTGAATTTTGTTTTTTGAATTTCGAAAGTCTGGATTTTTTGAGTCGAAAGTACATAACACTGACAGAAGATGGATGAACTTTGATAATTATTTGAGCTGTCCACGACGCAAATCCACACTACTGTCGGTAGAATAGCAATATTCCATTAGAATGGGATGGACTGAAACCCACCACCTGTCTCAATTCTTCTGGGATAATCTGGTTAAATAAAAGCACAGCCACCATCATCGATCCAATAGTAGTCAAATGTGCGAAAGTCCTCGACATGCAACTTTGGTAAATCGCACCACCATCAACTATCACATTAAATGCTCATCGCATCTCATTTTTCATTCTTTTCTCTCCATTTCTATCCATTCTTGTGCAGTCCTTTATTAAATTAAGCTGAATTTGAGCTCTTCTCACCATTTCTACATACATACATATGCATGCTATTAATAGCTTTCTCTTTCATATGTATCATTCTCTTCTGCGTGGCAGTAGAAACATATTTTTGAAAATGTATCAACATGTACATTCTTTCTCCAAGTTAAGCCCGGAATTTTTACCCGGAGAACTGAACGCCCAGCATAATCTCTAAAAAGAATATTATCAAATTATCAGGATAGCGTGACACACTTTGGTCACATTTCCGCCTTCGTAGAAAAAGATAGTTTCGCACGTACATAAATGGAAGCGTTATATAATTATTATGGGCATGACGCTGAATTGCAGATGAGAGCCTTCGCACAGCCAGACATGAAGACGAGTTTGTGCACTGGGGATAATTTTCAAAAGTTTTGCACTAACATTTAATTAGTTTTCAGCCCAGGTCGCTAGTTTCCTTTTGATAAATCTTATCTCGAATAGAAATTAAAGGGGTTGTTTCCACAAAATATTCCCAGGCTCTGGAGGTGCTCAAGTTTGTTCCGACACGAAAATAGCATTTCATTTTTGAGAATCGCACCGTATCGCGTCTGTAATCAATTAATTCCAATTGTGACTCCACGTAGGAAAAACTAGGGCTATTTTTGCTCCTGGCAAGTCCTTGTTGCAGAGAAAGTAGGTGAAAGTTGGGTTGGGCAGGTGAACGAAGGAAGGGAAGAGAACAGAGTGATTTCTGTTATAATGAAACGGAAGATGCGACGGGACATGGAAAACCCTTTTCCCACACTGATACTCGATATTGGATCCAATTTACAATTTGTGTCTCCCGTCTCTCTCCAACCCACAAAAGCGATCACACGGTGGACAGAATTAGGTCCCGGGTGTCACCTCAAGCTGAAGGTTTCCCTTTACTCAAAATAATAATGGAAAATGCCATCGAAAACTGAAAGTGCTCTTGTGGCGAAAACTCATATGTTTGAACCGACCACACACCGTGCAGGACAGACAACGACAAAAATATACAAATGTGTATCAACTTTCATACGAATAGGGAAACAATGTTCTAAAAATGTGGGGAACTAGACATTACGTGTAACTTATTAAAATCTCCCAATCGTCTCAAGGTTAATGCTCCTATTACGCAGGATGAAATATTCATGTGTCCAATTCAGAAAGGAAAGGTCACGAAACCGATTCCTCTACCCACTTGTACGTATTGAGAAGCGTTGGATTACGCAAGACACTGTAATGCAATATGTAAGCAGTGCCATATGCATATCGCAGACCTTCCACTAAATTGCTGCGTCCACGTTCAAAGTCATGAAATAAACTTCAGGTCGAGATGGCAATGCAGTAAATTCGGTGAGAATGCTGCATTCGAGTGGAACATATGTATGCTTGCCTATTGTTCGTGTGAATTTAGGTGCTGAGTCTATTTCTTCCATTGGCAGGGGCAGACGCGTCTTCTTAACTTATTGAATTCCATGCAGCCATCTTCCTCGACCAGGGCGAGAGAAAGAGGAGATAAAGCAGTGAAAATAGAACCTTGAACCAACACCTCTCTCTGACGAATTCGCATTCTCTTTAAATCTCAGCCACACATCCCGTGAATAACTGATGTCAAACTTGCTATCTGGGCTTAGTTTTCATTTCCCCTGCAAAATCCAGCTTGAATGGAGTTGAACGAGATAGGATAGAAATTGGGGTGAAGTTGGGCAATAAATTCTCTGGATAAATTGGTAAATTGGCGACGCACTTCCAACCGAGCATTCATGATGGTGTGGAAAAGTGGAAAAGCTGTATTGGAGAAAGTAGGAATAGTGGAATTTTGGAATTGAAATATCAACCTCTCCACGCGAAAAGTCAGATCGTAAATGGGTGCCGAGCTGAGTGAGCGTGTCAATTTATGCCATAAATAACGACAGCTACACACATACACATAGGGAAGATGGGAGCCTATGGGATCAAGTAGATACGTATTAGCTGCATGGATGTTGTCCTGAGAAAGCGTGTGGTACAATTGAAAGTAAACCACAGGCCAGGAGATCCTTTCTCCCTTTACGATGCCTTTTACACGAGTTACACAACTTGGGGGCAAGCAGTGGATTCACGAACTAATTTTTAAAAAGTGGTTCCTGAAATCCATAATGCTACACACAAATCTTCCTTTAGCTTTTTATCACCTATCGATTTTTGGTGTCCGGAAGTGCTATTGCCGATTTTTACCAATGACTTATTGTCTTTTGACGGATGTAAGTACGTTTCCTGAGGCGCCACCCTGTTATTTTTTACGCGTCTTTCTTATATGGATTTTCTATTATTATCGATTATTTAATTATGTGATTGTGCGTTAACTTTGAATCTCTAATTTCAGGTTGGTTTCCAACGTCAAGGAGAAAAACAAGTAACAATGCAAATCGGAGCCATCTTTTAGCCGATGTAGTTCTAATAGAACTATTTTATGCGAATTGAACAAAAACAACTGGGACAGACTCCTCATCTTTCTTTGATCACCACTCAAGAGTTTACGCGTTCCTTGTAAACTCACCTTGATAACCAAGTGTATTTCACAAGCTGGGAATGAATTGTGCACACAATTAATATTATTTACCTGTAGATCTAGAAAAGTGAAAAGCCGTGTTACTACATACTGTTGAAGTTATTTAAGCCTCACCATGTACGAAGATACGTCATTTCATGCACCACTATTCTAAATACATAACTAAATTACTTATTACCTTACAAAAATGCCATTGAAATTATCACATATTCAAACAAAACGTTACAAAGATAAACACACTGGGCGAAATATGATGTCATCTCACATGAAGAATAGCGTTATCTGAGGTACGGCACGATTGAGGCTCGGAGATGATTGTTCCCCTGGCTTTGTTGGTTCATAAAAAAATAAGTCGTAACTTGATCCTGAATCTTGCACTGATAAAACTGAGTTTACGAATAACGTTCTCTTGAATTTTTGATTAGCCTCATAATATTTTACACATCCAAGGCTTATGTATTTATATCAATTTGGGTACAGTGACTTACATATGTGAATATGTACGAGTGTGTAATTCTCAAATATCTACAAATTTTATGTGAACATAAATCTATATAAATTCTAACTTTCCTACACTATTATTATTATTAGCCACCTGCAATATTATTGTAAAACTGTGACACCAAATTCAATGTTGATGTTTCTCGTACCTTACACAATATGTTACTCAACTAATTGAAGTTGACCAGTTTGGATTAATTGTCTGTTTAATACATAATTCCCACAATTAAATTGAACGCAATAATGCATCCTTAACTTTTATATTTAACCTGTGCAAGTACCATTGAATGCTATAATTGTTATTATTACTTATAACTTTGGAATCACTTAAATAATAGCACAACCAACCATGCACCGCAATATAAATGACAACAGCATGCATGCATACCAAAAGAGTTGCAAATGTATTCACAGAGTAAAATTAAGGTAAAAAATGAGATATTACAAAACTATACTATTCCTTGGTAGACTGCAATAGTGTAACTTTTTCGGGCATTGTAAAGCCTATAAATAAGTACATACACAAATTGAAGAAGAAATGTGTGGGGGAAGTATTGCAAGTATTGAAATCCAGCCCATCAATGTATCTGAAGTATTGATGTACGTACGTATTGAAGCATTATTGAAGAATTTAATAAAGACTCCCAATTAATTACAGCCATTGATTTTAATGAGAAAAGTTTCATGTGTCAACCTCCTGCCTAAGCCATTAAGTAAGTACACGAATACTTACGTTCATATCAACTCCCACGCGTTTCCTTATTGAGAATGAGCAACCAGCCCTATTTTTATTTGCCCTATTTTTACCATCTTGAGCCAAACTTTGAGACAAAGGTTTCGTATGGGAATCAGTTGATGAAGAAAATTATTCAGGTCGTTTTAACCAACTTTCTGCTTTCACATTGTTCCAAGGAATGCTCTTTCCAAGTCTTTTATCATTGTCATGTTGATTTTCAGTTGTCCTTTGCTCAGCACAAGTTCGTCGCTGTCTTTTCATCGTCGCCGTAGCTAAAAGTTAAACTTTCATCCCACATAATCTGAGTGGAATGTATGAACATCTTGACGGAATGAATAATTTATTGCTCGACTCAATGAATGTATTTCTTGCCAAACACAAACTTTGATTTCCAGCATCCTTCTAAACTTTAAGAAACAAAGAGCACTGCGAAATTGATACAATCGGGAGACAACAACTCTAAAGTTTGGCCTGGGTTGGTTTATTTAGAAAGCATTTCAACGTCTTTGGCTCAATGGGTCGAAATTTCATTTTCTGCATTTCTTTTTCACGGAAAATAAATTGGGTTTCGGGGACATCACTTTTTCTAAATAAATATTCGATCCTATGGGAAAATTTTGAAGCTTCCGTTAATTACTTTTTATGTGGTGATAGATAGACAGTTGACCTTGCAAATATTTCCACCAAACGAGACCCGGCCAAAATACTGTACTAATTAATTTGACATTCATGTATGCAAATATTATTCAATTTTTAGGGCCAGATATTCCACACCGTTGCAATTACTCTCGTCATACATGTCCCTGCGATTCCATTTATCTGAATGTATTAAATATATGCATATTTATTTATTTATGCAGAACCATGCCGTATTAAACAAGTTATCACTTGCCCTGGAATTATTACACCCTCCGTTTTTTGTTTCAACGCATCGATTCAGTGTTGGCACCAGTGAGCAAATTAAAGTCATGGAATTGACAAAACCGTAAAAACCCTAATTTACTTTGGCGTATAGTGCTCCGACCACGACGGGTAATCCTTCCGAATGTCAAACTTGGAAAGTGTTGGTCTCGTAAATTGCGCAATATGAGACGCGTATCACACAATAAGAGAAAGAAGTGAGAAAAGTTTTATATGCCTTTTCCCAGCTAAACTCTTCCAATTTCAGTTTCATTCCTCTTCATTTTTCTCGTTTCTTTATCTTCTCCTTGTCCAATAAAAAGACAGAGATGCGAGGAAAAACTTAATAAAAAGCAGGCGACAATTCGGAGGTCCGCACATTATCAAAATGAAGGAAAAAATCGAGAGTGAATCCAAGCAGATAGAAAACTGAAGAAAACAGCATGTTGAGCAGTTTAGGAATTCAGATAAATAATTGACACGACATAAGCTGCTTTCACATCCTACTTATTTTCAAACTCGTCTCTAATTCCGTTATTGTGCTAAACATACGTTAGCTTGCGATGGGAAACTATTTTTTTGTCCATTTTATTTTAACCCACTCCAGTCCAAGCCTAAATTATGCAGACAAGCTGCTGGAGAGCTGATAAAAATAAACCAATGACGGAGTTAGACACTAGACTTCAAAATGTGACATTCACCGGTACATAAGAAAGTTGAAGTTGAAGTTGAGAGTGTTCTTTCCTAGCCGTACCGTGTAAGCAAAGCACGTCATGAAACACCACAGAAAGGTGGAGAAAGTTACGTAACATTCTGTATTCGAGTGAAACACGAGCTTTGCGAAAGTAAAGCTAACATTAGCTGCACCTTGTGTTGCCTCACGTCAAAAAAGATTAAAACTGACATCTGACAACGTAAAGCAACTTTGATTCAAACAGTTAATGTTATGTTATGTTAAATATTTTGCGATGCAGGACGAAAAAATAACAAACACTTCTGTGTGAGCATGCATTCATCCAACGCTTGTCGTAAGAGCTAAATCTAATCGACCCAGATAATCCTCATGTGCATATGAAGTTCTGTGGGAGAAGTGGATGTTCATTAAATCAATAATATAAGCATGCAATGTTCAGTTGAAGTGGGAAACTAACCAACGTACATATGCATGTACTTCTGCACGTGTGTGGTAAAACACATAAAAGCATGTCTCCAGATTTCTCTAGTCCTATGTATTGGGCTTGGCCATACATAGGAAAGACTGGAATTCAGCCCGTGGAGAACAATGGTGAAAATGGGGGTAGAAAGTCGTAAATTTGCATTTAAACACTTTTGAATGACATCCGACTCACGCACACATATTTTATCGATTACTCGATAGGTTAGCTCAGCAGCAATTCTTCGATTAGTTAATTGCTGCGATTGTTGGAGAAGAACAAGGCAGACTGATTTCTGTAATCAATAAACGGCAATGATATATATTTCCAAGCACTGTACGATATATATGTATTTATCGTTATTTATTGTGTGGCATGGAGTGACCCCGTGACTACATACAAGACATGACCCAAATGTAGAGAAATCCAGAAAAGAAGTAAATATCATACTAAAATATACGGTGAGAAAATTTGAACCCAGTATATCTCCAAGTTAAATGGGTAATTTATTATTAGTTCCGAGTCGCTGCTCTTCCTCACTCACGCTCGACGCTCGTCTCATGTGTATTCATTACTCAAGACAGTTGTCATTCTCACTATAAATTTTAAGCCTGTATGCAAGGAAAAAGGGATTAGAATGTGAGTGCAATATTGTCTCAGCTCAGATTTCTCTCGGGGTTTTCCTCCGAGAGACAGATTATAGGAGAGATTCTCCTCTGATTTCCACCAGTTTAATCGGGGATTATGGAACAGTCATACATATCTGTCTGTTAGGAGATTCTAGACGAACCACTAGACTGATTTTTGCAGACTTTCTCTTGGCTTGGACGAGATCTACGATGGGCTGTGGTTGACACTATTTTGCATACTGTCAAATTTGATAAATTGTCTCAGAAACTTGCAATTTTACATGAAATGAACATCAATTGACTCTATCAGAGTGTTGAGCTAAACACGTTGTCCTGTCTCTCAAATGTAGATTTCAAAATTAATTTGTCTTGAAACCGTATTATTTGTAAGAGCAGGTTTGCCCCCATTACTGGTCTGATTATCTGATTCCAAATTTGTAGATGCTTTGATGCAGTCAACTTGAAATCCAAACTTCAAAAATATTGGAAATGCAGTACCATTTAGTACGAGGAACTCTTGTCTATAAATCAAGTTGTTCAAACGGATAGTAATCGAGAGAGTGGTTATCGAATGCTGAATGATGCAGCTCGGGACATATAAGAGGTTTTATGGGATGAAATTAGCATGAAACTGATATTTGACAAAGCATATATTTATTATATTTCATTTAATAATAAATCACCAACTACCACAGTAATTGGTCGAACTTTTTAATTATCAACATTATTACGCTGAAAGTTTGGGGTTGCTTGTTGGGTTATACATGTAAGTATTACAGGGAGAATTGCATATGTAGTAATTATTGAACGAGGCGAATATGAACGTTAAAATGGTTTTAGTAGTTAGAACCATGTACATATATACCTTTGTCAAGTGGTGATTCACAATATTTTTAGACGTATAGTATGGTGGCGACATGTGTACGTAAAAAGATAGTTACATACCCTTTTGGCATTGCATTGACTATATTTACAGAGAGTGAAAGGTAAGGAAAATACATTTTAACAATGGTTTGTTGTACACTATATAGAATTTCATCATAAATACTCAAGTTTTGTATATTTTCAAAATGAATTTAATATGAAACTAACTCTTTAGAAAAGGATTAATTTAGCGCAAGATTTTGGAGTTTAATTGGGATAAAAGATGGTCACGTAAATAATTTTTGTATATATTGTGGTGAAAGTTCATCAGTCAGACAACAGTGGTAGTGGAGACAGAACAAAAGTTACAATTTGTAAAAATACTTTTTTTCAGGAATCAGTCTCTGCTTGGCATTTCACAATCTCGTCTTAACTGCCCCTTTCTGACGTGCTTGCCCATAATATTTAATAAGAATATTATGTTTATAAATATAATCATAATGCAACTATATTCTGTAGCGAGAGTTAAAAAATTACAGGCAACGACAAGGTGGGTCTTTGTACGCTGAGGTAAAATACAAGAACCGTAAATAAATATTACTACATATTTATGTATGGCTGAGCGAAGATCGATTATGATAAATATAAAATTCACAATATCTATTATAAATACATACGGATTACTAATAACGAGTCTAGTTTACTAAGTCTTGGATTTGTGACTTTGATTTTGGCATAGATTTTTATAAGGTGCAGTGTGTATCTTAAACTATTTAATGTATAAGGTGTCTGACATGTGTGGTGGCTAATTTTATTTATTTTGCATTCGTTCTGCTCCATCCTCTTTTTTTACCAGTCTTATTTGAAAATAACAATTTACACAGAAGAACCGAGTCACTAGCAGGCAGTTGGCCTACAGAACGGACAACGTATTTGATTTCCATAAGACTAGACTTGAATAGACTCAATAACAGACGACAATAACATTTTCAACAAAATGTTACACAATCGAACCCCTACTACATACCCGGAAGCTCCTCCTCAAGGAAAGTATTGCTGACAGTGCGAATTATTAATTTTTTTCAAGATGAGGCTCTAGTTCCAAATTCACGTAAAATATCACGAGATATCTCAATGTCATTGCGACTAATTCCTAACGCTCTAATTACCAAATCTTGCGGAAACCCCTCTCCCGTTAGTCGTGAAATGTAATCCATATTAATATTTTCATATGATGTCGAATCATCAATTGCGACTTTGTCAACAAGTTCTCGCATTTTCCCTCGCATTTCATTATGGTCCTGTGATCTGAATCCCCGTCCACCTCCTCCAGTATTTTCATAGTTGTGACCTTCTACTTCTACCGGGTATTGAGAAGAGCTTGGACCAGCCAAAAGCATTGGCACATTTATTGCTGAGTCGTTGATTTGAGTGCCTGTGCCAGGAACTAGAGGAACTATCTTACTCGTGGAATTAGGCACGTTTCGGCTCATGACGAGAGCATCTCCAGAGGATTGTGACACAACTGCAGACGACGACGACTTTTTCCCACTAACCACAACTCTGGTTGAAAAACTTGACGAGGGGGTTCTTTCCTTGCCGGAACATTGTGGATGCAGGGAATGTCTCATCGGCTGAAGGATTGAAGGAGCAGGTTTTCCACCAGAAATATTTCCACTACCGACAGCGCCCAGTTGTAATGCGTTGCTTGATCCATTATATGGAAGGTTAGGGTTAGGGTTGGCTTTAGGAAGCACAGGAGACGACGAAATATTAATAGGCAACAAAAGCTGATGACTAGAATTAGGTGAAACTACAGCCGACGAGGGGCAAGACTTTGGTGCGACGAGATGAATTGATTGTGCATTGTTTAACGATGGACATGATGCGTGGCGAATTTGCGATTGATTCACTTGGAGAACAGCAGGGGATCTCATTTGACCAGAAGGTTGGCAAGGCATTCGCAAACAACTCTCTGCACTTCTTGCGGGTCCACTATTGCTTGAAGGGATTGGATGAGCACTTGACGAAATACTGGCAGCGTTAAGATTAACACTACTTAAATTCTGAGGCACTTTGGGTACATCGTAACCGTTTTCGGTCGCTTCTCCTAAAAAGTAGATAAATGAAACTATGATTTACAAATATAATTAAAAAGTTTCCTTTACACAATTCAACTAGAATTTACCTCTGTCTAATACTGATGTTGAATTGGTAATTTGTACTCCACTGTTTGAAATTTCTCCATCCCCATTTCTTGGTACATTTCCTACTCTGGTCTCTGGTCGAGGATGTATTTTTGGACCAGGGTGTGATGACTTTGGAAACTCTCCGCCTTTATTCTCCCTTGGTCTATGACAGTAATTATAAAACCATGAGCTCAGTTAAAGATTTTGCAGTTCTTCATATTTTTTTCATGCCCAAAATTACCTGGATGAAATTTGAGGGGACTCTGCTTTCTGTGGCACCGGAATTCTAGATGGGGATGCTTTTCTCGGTGGAAGTGGAGGTGCTGGAGGTCCAACATCTGTAGACGACTGATTTGGAACTTGACCTATTGCTACGGTTCCACCACTTCCGCTGCTATTACTGCTCGCACTGCTACCAACACCACTGGTGCTTGCACTATTCTCAGTGAAAGATACAACGCAAGCATCCAAGGTGGATGGCTCCGGTACCGGTCGTGTTTTTATCCTAAATGCCAAGTCCAACTCGGTGTTATCCTTTCGTCCCGACCTTGGCGATTCGCGAGGCGTAGTTCCAGGACTGTGACTCGAACACTGTTTGTAAATTATGAGTTAAACTAGCAGTTTCAGTTAATATGCATGTAAATAAAAATGTATAAAATTGGGATCTTTTGAATTTTTAGAATAATTGAAAAGGTTGTTCTTACCCTTGTATCTGGCGTTTCTGACCTCGGAGAAAGAGCAAGCGCTTGTAAAGAGTTGTTAACATGATTCCAGCTTCCTCCATCCTGTGGAGAAAATCATGCTATTCAAGACGCCGTACGAACATTCCCAGAACGAATGACAACAATAAATGGCCGAAACAAAAAAAAAATAACGAAAATATTTCCCACACTGAACAACTGATCGTAACCTTAATACAAGAGAAGCCTTCGTGTAACCTTATAGACATTCTATACAGTACAAAAGTATGATAACCGATGCACAAATAAAACCACAATCAGTGCAGAATAAAATAAAATAAACACTAAATACAATCGCTTCATGCAAAATTCGATTATTATTGCAAAGAATGTAGTAAACATGTTAATCTTAGGATACAAAAGAAAACAAACTTGCAATCATGCAGTCATCATAAACAGAAATAAACGAGGACAGAAACAAACGAGGGTTGTGTAAGAGTACTCGTCGTCGTAAATATGTAATTTTTCACATCGGCAAGTCATTAATAATCACGCCTGCCTCCATTTGTTTAAGTAACAGGATGATCACAAATACTGAATTTTTAACACTTGATGATCTGGTATAAAATAATACATCTCTTGGACTTACATAAAAAGAAACATTTGATCAACATAATAAAAAACACTTCCTATCATTTACGATAATTTAGGAAATATACAGTTTAATAAATGAACGGCAGTCTCATTTAGTGCACAAAAAATATTTATATGGGTTTCTTTCAAGCTTTATATTTAGATAAAAGCAGACTAGTTTAGCAATTGGAAATGGCAAATGGCTTCAATTGCGTATTACTACTGCATCTACACTACACCTACAAAACAATGCAATAAAGGGTTAAGCTGTTGGAATGGAGCATTACTAGAGAGTTCATTTAGAAAGCGGTGATGAAAATTTGGCATTTTCTCGACTTGGTTTCAAAGTAAAAGTTTTGAACAAGCGTGCTTATAATAAGACACTGCGATATGCTGAAGCTATTGCACTCTGACCTCTAAAAAAGTGCACCACTGAATATAACGAATGGAACGAGGAATTGTTCATAAATATAATAATATAATAAAACAGGTTCTTTAAACTCTGGAAATTAATGGGAATGATGCGACATTTGGAATATCAGTATGTTTTCTTATAATGTATGTGAATAATAACTACAAGTCATGGGGCAGAGAGAACTATACAATTTCAACGACACGAAACACAATCACGATGATGCAATTACAGAAGAATAATTTTGGTTCTGATCATTATCATCCTCTACCTCGTCTTCCAAATCTTCCAAATCAACTAAATTCCCCGTGGATCCAGCCTTATGTTGACGACGAGGGTCGAACGGATCTACCACCTGAAAACAAATCAACGGGTAGCGATAAGAAATCTATTTCTGAACACTTTACTCAATTATCAATAAAATATAAATATCGAGTTGAAGATGAGTTGGTCTTAAATGTACTACAAATAGTCACCAAATTGTGGAAAATTGAATTTTTAAGCATTTTTGGACTCACGATAGATTCTGTTCCCTTAATTTCTGCTCTGCAAAATGGACAGCCCACTCCATCAGACTCCTGCGGAACAAAGTCATGAGTTAATAATAATATTCCGTCCTTCCTTTGATATCACTCAAATTCTTGAATTGGTGACTCTACCTGCCACGAAGTCAAACATGGAGTACATAGAAGGTGGCCACAAGGTTCAATCCGAATATCTTTATCATTTTCAGCACATATTTTGCAAAGTTGGAAGGTTGATCCCATACTATAAGTACAAATTAGTCATAAAAGATCTGGTATCTAACTGTATTTTTTTCTAAATTGAATACTTACAAACAGTACAATTCATACTGTTCTTGTGTAACTTTGACATGATCTTCAGGTGTCAGTTGCACTGTGAGCTGTGAGAGAAATAAAATAACGAGATTAGATTAAACATTAATCTACAATGTAAATGCCGGCTGAATAGACAACAAAGAGGCATTTTCATTATCTAACAGAAAACACATCTTAAGCAACTATCCCAACCAGACTTCTCTGAGGAAGCTCAAATGACGAGCCAAATGATTCAGATTAATCATCTGCATATCTATAAGTGTTTCATATGATTGAACATTAATCTTTGTACATACCGATAAATCAGGATTTACATTCCTTCCATCAGGGTATAAATAGCTGAAAAGAGTTGGATATTTATTTAAAATATACGCTCTTCTAGCTGGAGTGACTGAAAATACAATGAAGAAAAAATTAAACTCACAATCCTTCCCGATATCCATCGAGAAGAGCTTGGCACAATGATTTATTCTGTGGAATTGTCTGTAAAATATTTCCATCAGCCGTAACATAGCCTATCGCCCATTGACCTAATAATACAGGATAAAAATATATTAGATAGTTACAACAACAAATCTAGTTTATCTGTTTCGTTGTTTCGTCAAAACTAGAAATTTTATATTGAAAAATTATTACCCAAACGAGTACAGCTCAGTCGAAATACATAACTAGAAATTAAAAAAAAATATTGCATAAAACACTGTATATAGTAAATATCATAAAATGCGTATAGTAATTACCTTCCAGGCTTTGTAATGTACTTTTGAAGTCTTGCTTTCACTTCGTCGTATGTCAAAAAGGCTACGTATCCAGGATGTGTTCTGGAATAGTGTAATAAAGCTCATTATTCCGTGAAAATATAAGAATGCACATGATTAACATTTTAGATTCTAAAAATCACTTACACAGCTAAAATTTGCCAATTTCGTAGCAATGTAGACCACGGTTGAAAGAGTCTTTATGTCCAAACACAACAAGTTTTAATATTTCAATTACATACAAATCATGGATATGTACACAAGTGAACACATATCTAGGTCTCACCTTGTGAAAACATCAAACTCAAAATTCGAAATATAATCATTGCAGGTCAAATCGATAGTGGATTTAAGGGCCATTGCTTCTAGACCAGTACTAATAGGATGAACAGCACTCAGGATTTGACGAAATTGCTTCCACGACACTACAGTTCTACAATTCACGAAGAAACATGTATTATTTCGTCATGTTCTTTACTTGGATGCAGCAATTGGTAAATTGTTCTTTATACCTATTCCCGAAATTAGCTTTCCAAAAATCAGAAGCATCTCCCTTAGTAATTCTAAACTGCAATCGTCAAATAGAAGTTTGGTATTACAATCCATCCTCATAGTACATACATGTATGTATAATTGTACATTAGTCATACAATTATTTTGAAGCGTGAAAAAATTACCTGATCGCCGCTAAATACACCGTTTGGAAAGAGAGCTTTAAGCTCGCTTAACATATGGCTGAACACGAGAGACAGCTTGGTCAGATTTCTTCGATAATGTGAAGCTTCGTCAAACATTTTGTCTTTCCCCTCTTTGAATAGCTTGATTGCTTGCTTGCACTTGTTTTGTAAATTTTCGATAAATAAGCGAAAATACTCATTGTTGTTGAGGACTAAAATTTTATCCTCGTATTTTGTATAAATTAGCCTCAAGTGCTGGTATGTGTCAGGTAAGATGTCCAGAATGAATGGTGGAGAGTTTTTCAAGTTCATTTTAGAATGTTGGCAAAGCTTAACGACTGTAACAAACAATTGATGATAAATTGTAATTGATTTAAATGACAAATCACATTTGTATAAAAAAAACTGAATTAACTACCTTTGTCCATAAGCTTCCATGTCTTGGCCATCCTTCGAGCTAGGAAATATTGAAATATAAATGATATCAAAAATTTATTTACTAGGACAGAATTATCATTTGCTAAAATAAATAATATTCTTATTACGTGTGATGTCCAAACCAATGATGAGCTTTGGTGGGGACTGCAAAATAGTTGTATAATTTTTGTAAAATGTATGTAATATTTTAGACATTGATGTTGAACTACTCTGGGATTGCTCTACATGAAATGTATATTAAAACTATTTATCAACTTACCATTGCTTCCGAAAACGCTCCATGTATTTTGGAGAACAGAGAAGTGATGTTATTTTGCGAAGAAGCCGGAAGCTTGTTATTGTCCCTGTTATTGTTATTACTCGCCATTGTTCCTCTTAATTTCATTGCCTTTACATTTGTAGCAAGATATCAAAATTTCACTATAACGCACTCAAACGCACCGACTTTTTCTTACTATTCTTCTTTGAATCTGATAAAATTGTGGTTAGATCTGATTAAGCACAGTCAGTCATACTCAGCTGTTTCCTTCCAACGTATTTTTTTACGCCACAGTGAGTCTTTTTGAATTATTTCTCACACTAAAAACCGAGATTCAAAGATTCAAACTTGTAGCAAAACACTTCAGTGGTCAACAAAGCAGCGTAGAGTGCTGAGTAAGTAAGAACCAGTTGCTTTTTACTAATGCTTGCTTGTTGTAAGAGTTGCGTCCAAATAGAATGCACAATCAGAATACAATACCAATTGATAGCAAAAGTAACGGAGTGAGTATATAGTGTGCGAACTTGAACTTCCTACTTTATGAAGATGTTGCATTGATGTTGCTCTCGTAATGGCAATCTTCCTACGTCTCTCTCTCTTTCTTCAATTAAATATTATTCAATTCTTCTTCTGCACTAAGTACTGCGTTGATTTTATATTCTCCACTCGTATCCATTTCCATTGTGTTTGATGACTTTTATCAAGAGGATGATTGTTGCCGGTGTTAACGGATTTAGTCCTGTAAGTAAATAACACATGATGTGCATCAACTATAATTGAGCATTATTTGGTTTGAAAATATTGATCGAATAGTAAAAAGTTATAATAAACAAACTTACAAACAACTGATTTATATGATTCTCACCAGCAACGTCTTGAGGCTCGCTCCTGAAAGAGGAAAAGGAGAAAATTTAATATTGCTGTCTATTTCAACAAGTCTAGTTAATTAATTAATTGATAGAAATGCGTCATAAGTTGGATTTGGCAGATATTCTCTACAACATACACTGTACAATTTCTTGCAGTGCATTTATCTTAAGACGCTCTTCTGACTTTATGCGTATTTATTCGTCCTATGGACTGCGCATGGTAGGCAGGTGATATGTTTTACTAATTAAGCTAAAAGACTATAATAAATGTAAACATTTGACAAAATAAATATTTGCAAAAGGCATCTGTCCTTCATATTCCGTCCAGCACATCCTTCATATTTTGGAGAGTCATACAGTACAGACTTGAAGCTCTATGCTGATTTATTCTTCCTGACGGAGTTTCTAAATTTCAGAATAAAACAAGCAAGACATCCTAGCAAAGTAAAGAATAATATGTACTATTTACATATACAACAGTCTACACTATTATATCGACGGAATTTTAGTTTTCCTAAAAACACAGGATAAACACACCCTGAAATACTTTCCAATCACGTTGTCATCATTTATCATAAAGGTTAGAAAGATGTCGAAATTATGGCAATGAAATCACAAATACTGGTGAGGCAACCTTGAGCTGCAACTTTTATTCTACATACTCCAAGACATGTATTATTCAGGTGAGAGCGTGTAAACGACACACTATTTTCAGCATGATCATTTCGGTAGCGTTGTTCCAGCAACGAAAAGGATCCCAGCCACATAATACCAAAGTCACTCGCACTCACAATCAGTCAGGCTCGAAGTCCCGAAAACATTTCTTGCATCACGCCACTGCCGACCGACACCCACGCCAGGCCAGAAAAATAGCAATCAAGTAATATCTCCAGACGCAAATATACCCTTTCCACAAAATGCTGATGCTGCTGTATATTATGCTGCGCTAACATTAATTTACTGCCACATCTATCCATCCATGGAATGAGCAAGGAGTTTGTTGCATATTTCAGCATTTATCTAAATAGAAATTACTTAGGTTCCAAATACAGTTGGGGAATTATATTGATCTACCTACATTTTGCATGCAATCACTGGAGGGGAAACATGTAAATAAAATAAGTATTCCCCACATAATGCACTCTTTCATCACCTATTTATTTTTAAATTAATTGAAATAAATTAAGCGTTTGCAAGTGTAAGAATTATGGCATGAGGAATATTAGGGGATGATGTATTCATTCATACATAGTGTTACGAACACAACACAATACTAGTTGGCTGTGCAGAGTAAATCGGGTCAGAAGGTCGGATGGCATGGCTTATTTATGAAACCGCAGCATGAATGAATGAGAATCAAAGCATATACACGAGTAGAACTGACACATACCCAGAAGAACGTCTTTCTCAGCGTTTTGTTGGCAGTCATTCATGAAACCACGATGCTAAAGGTGAGTTAGAAATAGAAGAACATGAGAAGAAGAACGAACGAACGAACGAGAACCACAAAAACTTTTAAAGCACGGTTGCGACAGTGTACAACATTTTTTCTTTCGCCATACTAACGCCGCCGACCCCAGACATAACTGCGTCGTACAGTGTACTCCACTCAATCCTTGCATCTGTCATGATGGGACCGGAGAACGATAAGGCACGACGATGCGATCTTCTAAACCAAATGCGTACATATCCTTCGCAAATCTCGTAGTTCATGCAAAGTAGAGGAAACCCATGTTCCAAATGTGAGGGATTTAAACCGTAAAGTTGAATCTACACGCACAGACGACAACATCCGCTCTCCTTCTCCTACATCCGAACCGATGGAGTCGCAGATACGAGAGAGACTGCTGAAGATGAATAATCCAGCGTTGAATCGCCAACAAGAGTAATTGCCAAGTCAAGCTTCATTCACAAACTCAGAGGTTGTTACATATGTACACAGTTTGAGAGGGAATCTATCTCGAGTGATGTATTATGCAGTGCAAAATCGCGAATGGTCTTTGCTTGCTACACATCTCTCTTGCTCCGAACTTTCCACGTTACTATTTACTTACTTCCTCTGCTGCTGATTTAGATTTGGTTCATGGTTATAAAACGTATTACACATAGGATGTCATAGCTTAATAACGGTATGGCATGACTTGGATTGAATTGGATAGTGGTGTCACAACCAAACTCTCTCCCTCTCTGATCATGAACTGGTGAAACGGCGATGCGAAAGGATATTAAAATTAAACGAAACCACAATCGACCTGCATTTTTCAAGTTAAATCTCACTTTTAGCAGCTCAGTGAGATGGCACATTAAATTACATAGGCTACTCTACACATAGGTACATTCATCATTCACCTCTCTCTCTCTCTCTTTTCTGACTTACAAAATATTAAGAATATAATTTTCAACGTCAGTCGCACAACCTTCATTATTCGTTTTTTGAATGGAGTCAATGGAGAGACCGGAGATTGTGACGTGATGATGATGATGGAGATCAAAATGAATGAATTACGAGCTGAATGGCTGTTAAGAAAAGTTGAACGTGTGAATGAAAGTCATTTGCATTAATAAATTCAAAACTGTCGTCTCTGTTCATTTGTTCAAACTGTACAGAAAATTTGCAACTTCTGAACGATAAAGACCTGCAAAGAAAACTTGTGTGGTGCAAGAGATTGATTTCGATATGCGTCATTGCCGTCAGTCAGCAAAAACAAGACGAGCAAATTCCAATTAAAACAAAACTTTTTAGCGTGGACAGTGTCAGTCAATCTATTCCAGGGACGAGTTATATATTGCATATCTTTTTAGCAACAAAACTTTTTGAAAAGTAATCCAATGCAGGGCAGACTTTCTAGTTGAATCGAATAGCCGGTCAATATTGCCACTTGCCAAAATGATTGGTCCTATATTTTAAGGATCCACAATCCAAGTAAGTATACTGAAAGTTCACACTGAATGAAGGGATGTGCAGGCTCACGAAATCATGGAAATTGAATGGTTTCTTTAAGTGCAATGTTGTGTTCTATTGAACTCAAGGTTCCAAATATCTCGTATGTTCACGTAATTTCCTTCTAGGTTCTATTGTCGTGCTAATCCAGCCAGTCACTCTCTCGGTTAACCGAACTGTTGGCAACGCAAGTTTCGTAATCATCAGTTGGTTGAGAAAGTAAAAGTTTTAAAATGGCTAAAATTGTCACGTTTTGAATTTTCCTCACTTTAAAATATAAAACCCTGAGAAAGGAAACAAGGATACAATATTCCTCTGAAAATCGCATTCATTAACACTATTCAAGGTTTTTGTAACATACATATGTAAAACAGACTGTAATTATTATTAGATCTCTCAGAAACGACCAAAATGTGGGAGAAATTCGTACACAAATGTCACTACTAAGGCAAAAGTTCTTCTCAAATTAAAATTAATGAACCTCAGTTCCACTGCTCGATTAGCATATATAGATATGCTTTATATGGCCACACAAAACCACAAAATGTCAAGAACAATGAATAATTTATAATTTTGTATGCTAATCTTACTAACGACAACCTTTACCTCGCTTTACTCGTATCCGTCTTGTATACATAATGTGCTAAAAGTATCCATTTAGTGTTTTGACAAATGCGATTTTAACCTAGGCCAAAACATAGCATCAGCATTATGCATAAGTGGTATTAAGTAATTAATTTGTGGACGGATGATAACGTCTAGAGAAATATAAATTGTGGGTGAAATAGCTAAAACGCAGACAAGAGAAAGAGAGGATGGACAAGACAGCTCATGATGAAAATAAGTTTTATTGCAGTCTCCAACAGCACGAATCGGATAAAAATGGAAAAAATGTGGAATGAAGTCGTGCTTCACCACTACCACCATATCAAATAGTAGTTTATGGGAGAGATGGAGATATGAAATGATGATGCTTGTACCTGCAGAATTTCTTAATGGGTGCACAAAAGGATGATGAGGTTCTATTCACGTTTGTGTTATCAACTCCTTCTTATTCTTCCTTCACCTACCAACACAAACCAACCAACCAGCATTTTATTATTTGGCTCGCTAGCATTTAGCATACTACACATACATATTTTACCCATTTCAATTTTGAACCGGATATCATGAAATGAGCCATCGTAAACTCCGAGTCAAAATCATGACTCGCTTTGGGGATTCTGCATTTCATTAAAACTAAAAGGCTGTACGTAAATGCCTCGAAGCTAGGACAAAGCAAAATGATAATAATTCTTCCATCCATCCATGTTTCTCCTTCTTCTCGCATTTAATAAACTATGAACATGGTCCTTCCTGTGCATGAATATGTCGCCTGTTTGCTTGTTATTACGGAGAAAGACTAAAAGAAGAGCGACCGAATGACGCTGAAACCACAATCCTAATGTGGTTTTCCAAGAATGATGATGATGAGAATAATTTAGCTGAACAAAAGATTCGGATTGAAATTTAAATGTCCGTCGACCGTTCAGAGAGAATGAATTTTCTTCATTCATGCATGCTCTTCGCTTCTTTTCATTGTTGCCATAAAATATGAGTTAGCAAACAATGGGAAATGAATCAGAGCTCAATTAAATAATATTCAATGGACGGGACGAATGTGACAGCTCATTATCACACAACAAAAATAACGGAATAAATTGAGACAGCAATTTTACTTTTATTAATTTCTCAGATTCGAAGAGGACAGAGAAATCTCTTCAATTCAAGAAGTTAAAATAAATAATAAAAAATCTGTAATCCACCAATCAATGGATGAATGGACTATTTTGGACAGGAAAAGGAAAGACGTTCATTCGTTGGGCATATCTACATAGCATACCAATATGTATATCCTGATTAGAAAGAACAATCTAGCAAATCTGTCCTGAGAAATCGTCAAAGTTTGAACAACTTATCTGCTAAAAACTTGATTACTTGATTCGAGGAAGGACAATGCCGTGTACTACAGATACACAGTCATGAATGAAATGAGTGGGGAGAGATCAATAACATTTTTTGCAATCAAACAAATAACGCTGACTGAACATTTGGGATGAATTATTTTTAGATGGAGATCTTTCAGAGCCATATTACTACAAAAGCCAATTAATTATGCGACAACCTGGATTAGAATTCAATAACTAAAATATTACTTGTATACCTCATTACACTTTTCTCTCCGCTGACGCAGGATGTAATTATAATTTAATTAAATGTTCACCAACCACAATCTACGGGAACAAGTTTGAGCATTTGTGACATGGATGTGGAATGATATTAATTATGGACTAATGCAATTCTATTCGGTTTGATATAAAACTACTAAACGGAGACAAAAAGCATGACACGATCATAATTTGATTTAGTAATGAAATTTGAGACCCGAAAATATGTTTAATTTCCTTTATGCTCTTTCTTGTTACTTTTAATGTTTACAGTTTACGGCAATAGTTATGATTAACAAGTAGTAAAATCAACATTAACTTACTTCAAAATTGCATCCAAAATTCAAATCCATTTAGTTAAATCAATCCATGACTTTCGAGATCCATACAATATTACCAATCACTTGTATTATAAGTTATGTCCGAGAATAGACACATGATTTCACACACTTTTTAATTTTTGACACTAAATAACAAAGTTGGGTTTGTTATAAACGACATATTTTACGCAAATAAACTATTCGCTGTTGTCTTCACAGAGAAGGAAAAAATGTCAAAGAGGAAACTTTTCACCATCCAAAAACAACAGCTGCTTGTTCTTAATTGTCGTCCTAAAGTTCCTCCACGTATTATTTCCAGTAAAACATAATAATTATAAAACCTCGTTTTTTTGTGTTTGAGGATTTTTGAAATGTTGTGGGCAGCAGGCTCTCTGCTCGTCTCCGACGGCCGAGATTTCGTGAATGAAAGCAACTCGGCCAACTCCGAGCACCACCAACTCAAACTCAACCCTCACCTTTTTTATCCACTATGCAGCCTCGCGTCGTGATGAAAATATTAATTTCCGGCTAAATTTAATCGTTTAAAGCATGGGAAGTAACTCAAATTGGTTGTAAATGATGCACCGGTATTTCAGTTCGCTTTATACAAGTGCCTTTAAGCCTACGACTTCTTATCAACTGACCATATTACACATTGAACTGGCATTACTATTAATTGGCATTCCACGTAAATGTTATTTGCGGTATGTGGATTGACATGGAGCAATAGTCATCGAATGAGAGGACAAATCAGGCAGTTTTATTTCATGTTTTCCTTCGCCTGTGCCAATTTTGTCTGTGTGAGTAAGTGGGAATAGTTTCGTACTTTTGAACGAAAAGCCAATGGACCTGTGTTTCATTCAAACAGTTTGAATCAAACCAAGTGCAGCAGAGCTTAGGTTTCATGTGTGTCAACGCTTTTCTTTGCTTGTGGGGCTTGGTGGCCATCTGTGGAAAGGAGAATGCTCTATTCCAGTCCCATCCACAGGATGCGCTGAGCTCGTGAGTAGTTGCCTAAGGTGGGAATGGGTGAGACACTAATGATGACTGCCTTGGGGAAATGTAAGATGAGACTGCAGAGAGAAACTTGAGACTTTTTGTTTTTATCCCTGTTGGCTTTTAGTTTGATCCAATGTTTTGCTAGAAATTATAACTACTAAATACCGCACGGTAATCTATGATGTGTTACCTTTAGTCCAACTTCTGTTTGTGTTCCAACTTAATTTTTAAAATGCACCATTTTATTATAACTTCTGTAGCAAGTAATGTTTATATTATATTAATACTATAACTAATCTCACCTTCAATTATATACATGTATGCACCACTTGATATCTGCAATTGCTGAAATCAAATTACAAACATATACTTACATATGTGCAAATTAATGTAATTTTTGCTGGGTGGGTTCATGACTGCAGCCCATCACAGCACATTTCTCTTTGTAGAGAAATTTTGTAAATATATTGACTCAGGAGTTATTGGAACGGACAGAAAGTTCGGCTAGCAGTTGGAAAGGGACAAAAGACGGCGTAAAACTCCCCGGTCTTTCCATTCCCCTCCATTCTCGCTCAGACCTTGGTGGAGAACGGACCTACTCGCTCTCTGACGTCGCACTTTGCAATCTCACTTGGATTTCCGAGGCCGGTCATCAACTACTTACTTACCAAGAGAGCTTTAATTTCGCGACTTTTTGAGTGCAAGTGAAAATTTAAAATACAACCCCGTTACATTAGTGTCTCTGGGAAATCGCATTATTTCCCAGTTCTCCAAAACTTTCACCCTTGACTTCATGTCATATAAACAAATCCGGCGTTGTATTGCATGGACGAAATGTCTACGGGCATCATTGTTTGTGAATAGCTGAATTTTGATTCTCCCTAAAAACAAACGTTCTGTATATACCAGTTTCACCAGATTTTAGGTACTTCACTGAATTTAAACCCTGAATAAACACTACTTCTAAGAATAGCAAAGGATTTTTGGAGAAAGTACATATATTTTAGTGTCCGGAAAAAAATTCTGTTTGTTTCTAATTCTGCCATCCACAAAATCCAGATTCATGGACATAGTTCATTTTTGGCACCGTATTTCCGCCATGAATTTTTTATTCAGTAACAACGGTAGACAGATGCAGTTGACAAACTTTGCAACTTGTTCCGAGTAGCAGGAGACATTATCATACGAGTTCCTGATGAACTTTGAGAGCGTAAAGTGAGACGGATTGGCCTGCGGTAGCACAAAGTTGACGCGTTGACAGTTCACGAAAGCCAAATTATTGCAGACAACTCAAGCTTTCGTGGTAAGTCTTAAAGTTTAGAGAGTTGGAGAAACTATTTGAAAGACTTGATTCCGTGAAGGAGGCAGAGAAATATTGCGACCAGAAACACTCTCCGCACGTGCCCTCTCCTATGCAGGGACATCAGCTCTAAAATAATGGCGTGGATGTGAAAGTGTTAAAAATTGCGACTCAACTGTGAAGTCGTTGTATTGTTGATGAAAGAAGAAAGGGGAAGAGACATTTCTCACAAAAAAACTCAAATTCCTGCCGGACAAGAACAAGAAGAGACAATTTTTCGACTTTCTCTTTCAGTGAGTAGTGGATTGTTAAAGAGAAAATTTCACCAGCACCTTGCAGATAAAAAGTGGGTCAGCGTCGTGTCGTTGTCTTCTTTAGAAGGAAAAAATAGACTTATTCTGAACGGAAGGCTTTCAAGCTTTCAAAGACGTCGTTAGTATTTTAATAGCCTAAATACGTTAGTATAGTTCCTTGTCACGCCATTTCCCAAAATTTAAGACATTCGAGGTATAAAATCATCAAACAATAAAGAGTAATTTTTTACAAAAATTATACAAATACACAAAGTGAATTATCTGCCTAAATACATAAGGACGGACAACCTAACGCCAAGAACCACCAACCAGTCAGCCAGCTTCATACATACGTGGCTGCATCTCTTTGTACGTCAATTCCGCCTCAGCAAGCCTCGTATTTGAAACTGACTTAAATACGGGACTACTTTGGATGGAGACCGGACGCTGTACACGGAAACGGACGCAGCTTGAGTTCCATCAAATTCGAATCTAAATTCCTCCTCCTTCTTCCCGTGCATATTCCAAATACCGAACAAATGGTTGAGAAACATTGTGTCGCATTTGCATAAAGTAAACCCGTACGAAGAGCAAGACACACACATACGAGCAACAAAAACAAGTATTTCTTGCCTTGCTCTGTGTGCATTTTGCCTTTTTTACAAACTGATTTCTCCAGAGTAGGCAGGTGTTGTTGAATTATATTCGTAAATTTCGTCGACGAGAGTGAAAGTGTTTATGAATGAGTCGACCAACAACATGCCCATCTCAGCAGCACGTCTCCTTCATCCTTGCTGGTGGCGTTAGAAGAAGAGGATAATGAGAAGAAAAACAATGGTGTGGGCCGGGCTTCATTGGTTCATTTTAGTCTTTTGTAAGTCTTAAACTTTTCTCTAATCTTACTTTTCCCCAACTTTATTACCCAAACGTTACCTACCAACCAACATGCATACATTTTGCATGCAAGTATTTTACCTCTGTGGTGGATCTATGTATGCATATGTTCATATGTGAAACCACCTCTGTGCTTGTTGGCTGTTCATTTCCAGCGATGAAGAGCAGCAGAGTCGTTATCATTGTCACCGGCTCACCGAGGATAATAAGTAACTACACAAGGAGCACAATGGCGGATAGAAAGAGACCATTTAGTTGAGAGAAGCGAGAACACGAAAATTTTATTTGTGTGTCTTGTTTTCAGACAAATTAACTTTTCCTTGTTCCTTGCTCCGTGGTGGTGGTCTTCTTGATGATGTAAGCAGACAGAAAACAAAAGGGTTTCTTGGGTTTGAATATCTCACTCAAATTGGGTTTTGTGGTTGATGGAAAAGAGGCTGCTGTGAGTGCAAGGCCGAAAAATTAGTGGAATCTTTGAGACGGGTAGAGCACAATAAAAATGAGGTAGAGTTCCACGTAGCTTGACATGTTAGTAGATACACATATGTATGTCTCACTTTATTGTTAGCAGTTGTTGCAACGCATACGTGTCTTTGTTCTACTAAAAGTATTCTCAAAATGGTGAGATTCGTTTCAGTTGTTCGTCTCCGATATAAAGTTTGAACTGTGTTGTCTTTGTCCCTTGCTTTGTAGATTTTTCTGATTGGGTTGGCTTTGAGATATGATGCAGGAATAAATCTGGAGATCTTTATTACCTCCGCTTCACACTACCACACCACACACGCTGCAGTTAAAATTCTTTGGCACTGGAAAACTTTAATCTACTACTTCACATTCATTACTTGCTTTGTACCTACTCACTCCCATCGTAGACATAGATATTCTTAGAACGGTTTGGTTGCACGTATTCTTGCCATGTTCGCTCCTTTGAGTGTGCTCGACTCTGTAATTCCGTTCTTTGTTTTGAAAATCAACCCAAGACATTCAACAGAATTGAGTTGTTCCTTAATTGTTCTTTTACTTCCTGGAATTATTTCAAGAATCTGAGTTGAGTGCGAGATAGTAGTTTGTGCTTGTAATTTATTGGCATCCTCTTTATCGGCTGCAGATTCCATAATTTACATAAGTTAGTGCAACTGACTGGGACGCCAACTTATCTTCTTACGGCACAGCAGGTCATTGTCGCTGTCAAAGTAAAATATTGCGTCATTCAATGCTGGGATATGTAGATATTTGCAAAAAACCAATTTCTGCCTCGTCTCAGTAAATGAATAAATTGCACTTCATGCATTAAGTACATGCAACTTATTAAGAACATCCAGCCATACTGAAACAAATCTCTACAGACAAAATTGCGATTTCTTTCGAAAACTGTTTCCTCCATGCAACCCAGAATGTTAACTTATTTGAACAAGTGAAAATTTAATTTTGTGATTTTACCGATTTCCGAAGTCTGTAGCGTTCCACAAACTTGCCTCATTCTATTTCAGACGTCCGCTTCCTCTCTCAACTCAAATTTCTTTTATTGCATTTTTTCCTTGTGCGGAGATACTTTTCTCCACTTGTCCCTACACACGATATGGATGTTCATACATGCTGGATAAAGATACATATATTCCAGCAGACCAGCGGCAGAAAGCTGCTTTGTTCCCTAAATAAAAGCCCCCTTCACGTCTCAACTATTTCTTGCCTTCTTTGATTGAACTTTTCCCAACGTAGCCGAGCCGCACCTTTCTACCCGACAAAAATTATCCAGCCAACAACAAATCTCGAACATGAAAGCCGGATTTCGTTTCAAAATCCCCATGTTTTCTACACCACGAGGACACAGCACAACTTTCTCTGTAACTATACGATGTATTGAGTGTTCAGTTACCTACATATCTAGGTGCGCAGGTTATCAAGGGCTTTAAACCTGACATGTGACTCTTCCCATGGATTTTGATTTTGCTGACCATTTCTTGGAAATTCACTGATTTTGGCACATTCCCTTTGTTTCTGCTTGTTAGTGAAAATGACACTGTTCAACCTCTTGAGAACAATGCTGCTTGAACCACTCCCTTGGTTAAATCCTCTTTAATCTGTGTCAGAGTGCCTTGTTTTCTCACAACAGTCTTTGACGCGCAGACTTTGCCCTTCTCACGAGGCAGTGTTGGATTTTGAAATAAAACGAGTCAACTTTTGTCCTCAATAAATCGGGTTCCCTTTGTCCAGGAGTAGCTAATCGCATAAGCTTCTTTCGAATTTCAAAGGAGGTTGTTCTAAATTGGACTGAACAACGCGGCTGAACTACACGTTCTAACCCTGCCCATAATCGGGTCGAACTTGTCCAGCCAATTCTGGCAATAACAGCTACACACATAATATAAATATAAAAACAATACAGGTCATCGTTCCACATACATAAAGGAAAGTCCTGATAACTCTCAATTGCCATTTAAAGTAGTCATCGTTCATATCTGAAATTCAAATTTTTGATAACTCATTCCAAGATTTCCATGAAAAAAAGGAAAATAAATTGCCAAGATTAGTCAAGTGAGGAGCAACTACCTAAAAACATTGTTCCAAGAGAAGGAGAAAACTGGTTGGCTGTTACATATGTCCTTTTGTGTCTGGGATTGATTAAAACTTGGAGGATTGAACAGCCATACTTTTTCTTGTTTACTCAACATGTAGATTCTCCTAGAATAAAACAATTTTGCTGTGTAAAGTTTTAACTTTTGAGCATGGAAGGACGTAATTGGACTGATGTTGCATAACCTTCCCTCCGTCTGTCAATAATTCGTGTGTCCTCAGTTGTGAAATCATTATGTTAACTCTGTCCCTATTATTTTAGCCCCCACTCCACCTCCTTTCCTTACATAAACAAAGTTGATTTAGTTTGATTTCTCCCAATCCTAACAATCCATCAGGTCTCTTCCTTCTTGTAATCCAATCCAACCCAAGAAGAAGAAGAGAGAGAATTGTTTCGGATGAGTGCCTGCTCGAGTGATAAGATTGCAATTAGTCTCTGTAACCCGACCGCGTCTGTTCCAATCTCTTATCGACTTGTAAAACCGTTCATCTGTGTAATTAAACACGGGGCAGCAGTAGCAATTCCGAAGACTCCGTAGAGGGAGGCATCTCACGTTCACATTCAGAAGGCCAACAACACGACTAATTTCCTCATGCCAAAACGCATTTATTCTTCACATTAGAAGTGCATGCAACATTACATTACTTGCTCATCCACTCTCCCATGCCAGAATTGTTGACTTTGTAATTTCTCAACTTAACCCCATTCCCACCCACCCACCATCCAATAAACTCCAAGATGAAGACCTTTCCTGCAAGTGTACATAAGGATAAGTACCTACGTACACATAAGGAAGTTAAGGAACGAGAGAGAGCAAAAACAGGGACAAGCTAACGATCCGGTTGATTGGAGTTAATGCATTGCCGAGTGTATACGTATGTAGCTACATACATTCATTTCATAGTGGAAGGAACTCAGATGGGTGCGCCTTGGAATGTAGATTTCCAGCGAGATCTCCGATTTAGATGTGGAGCACGAGATAATTGAATAAGTTAAGCTAATCTTGGAAGAGGAGAATGGTGCACGAGGAGAATCGATAGATAGCTTACTTGAAAATTGGGTTGAATAAGAAGGTACATACACTTGTTTGCTTAAAGAATGTTCTCTCATGCGTCAAAGTCACTTTGCCATTCATTTAAGTCCTCGAGAGACCTCCAAAAGAAAGCCTCCATGTCCATACACACACACATTCCTCGCTTCAAATGAGGGAGAACAACAACCGTTTTCCCAACCACCATCAAACTAACGGAACAATACGCTTTAATGGACGTAGTGAAAAATAAGTGAATTCATCCGCCCTTTGCACTTTCTTCATCTGTTGTTAAACCAAACTATGCGATGCCTATCAACTATGTACATTTGCAGAAAAATACATGGAGGAGTTAATGGACAAGGGCAAGAAAGTGAGTTTTGGGATGTAAATATTGATGGGATTATTATAACAAGAGGTCAAATCAAGGGGCAGAAAGATACGCTCAAAAGTACATAACTAACCAAGCCTGCCATCGTATTATTAAGGTTTCATCAAGCATTTTGAGCTGAATGGACTCCAATTATGGTTCTTCTCCTTCTTATGTCGTTGAATTTGATGTGCTCAGCTTTCTCCATCGTTCACCGTAATATGTATACACGTATACGATAGGCAACCCTGTTTTATCTGCTCCATCCTGCTTTTAGCTAACCAAACAGTGGGAGCTGCGGCCTTAAGACGGGTAAATGGACGAGGAAGGGAAAGGAACTGGTGGTCTAAAGTCAAGAAACATTGTTGGAGCTCACAGAATGTGTGTGTGTCTAACAGGAGCGGAAGATCAGAGTGGGCTTTAGTTATTCTAAACATGATGGTCGGTTATCTTGTTAGTTGACTGAAAGAAAGGGATGGAGGAGTTAGAAGCGGAAGTAATTGGGTTTCAGAGCATAATTCAACCTCGTTAAGTATCACAAGAGGCCAAGAAGAATATCAAATGAAAACTAGAGCAATAAATCTGCACTGGGAAAGGGTTAAGGGAAGGAGACGTGAAATAAGAGGAATCGGAGATGTTCAGCCAACTTGTGAGTAACACCATCTGTAAAATTCGGACAAATTATGCCCCTTAATACATTCACTTTTCGAGTATTAATCGCATTGTTGGGTGGATTTTTTTAATTTCAATATTTATATATATCTTTCATTGCATTATATTTCGATAAACATGCATAGTTCCAAAGGTTCCAGATTTTAAATTCTCAAAATCTAAGCATTTATTCATGGAAGAACATACTTATGTGAATACATGTAGAGATCGACTCTAAGTGATCCCATTTCTACTTACTAAACCACTGGTTTCCTTCCTTTTTAATCCCGAAAAGTCAACTCGTAAAGATCTGAAACATTGTAAAAGAGTCTAAAAGATTTCTGCCTGTAGGAG